GCATTTATCTGTGAGATTCTTTCGGTAATAGAACCAGATGAGTCTACCATTAAATTAATTATTTGCTAATTGTATAAAAATCTTGCAGAAAGCAGTTTTGAATCTTTTTTATAATCTTTTTTCCTTAGTTTCGTAGCTTTTCCCCAATTCTCCCTCAATTTAATGAGATTTTTTGTTAGCCTTTTGAACCCCAGAACCACAGGAAAAAAAAGCGCCAAGAACATTTATCATTCAAAACCAATAGAACGGAGGAATTTTCTCTCTGGGCCATCAATCAAAAAGTCTTGAAGAATTTTTTGCTGTGTAGGGTCATTTTTTTTTGTTCTTCTTGGTCTGGCCCTAGACTTTTTGGGGGGTAACGAATTTTGCTTAAATTGCGAAAATTTAATAATCTAATAAGGCAAATTTTAACAAACTATTTAATGGCTGAATCCATCGTTACAGAGAGTGGCAAGTGCGGCAGGGTGGCAGAGTGGCTGTGTGGCAGAGTGGCAGCAGAAGTGGAGGCCATGATGTCTGGGCCTTAGGCAAAGCGTTTAAGCTCAAGTGGAGGCCAAGCAGCCGCGTTTAATGTCTGTGAAATTGAAAAATTTACTCTTTAATATGCGAATGGGTTGAGCGAGAGCGAGAGGGAGAGACTTCAGCCGGAAAGACTCTGTGCCGCATGCCGCCAAATGGTGTGGAAGCTGCTGCTGGTGCTGCTGCCGCTGGAAGCTGCTTGGAAAGTGCAGTTAGAGCAATTTCACAACTCACTAACAATCATTAATGCGTCGAGTCTGTCCGAGAACTCTGTGGCGCGTAAAAGGAAGTTCAGTCCAGTCGAGTCCGTCTCTAATAAGCAGCCTCTCCGGCCTCTCCAGCCTCTCCGGCCTCTCCAGCCTCTCCGGCCTCTCCAGCCTCCAGAAACTTAAATCATAAACAGCCTCCGACTTGGACTCTCGGGCTACTCGCTTGCTTTATGAAATGGAAAAATGTGCAACAAAATGAAAAGAAAAACATTCATCCATCCACAGAAAATAAAAAGAAAAAAAAATATGCCCAAGGAAAAGTCTCTAGGAAAAGCAAATCGGGAGAGGAAAAGGAAAAGAAAGAGAGAAGGATGGGTTGATGGCTGATGGCTGATGGTTGATTGCCAGTTGGTTGTTTGGGATGTGATTGAGGCCTGCGGCTCAGTTTGAAGTTCATGTTGAAGCGTTTGCTAAATCGGCACGCAGCAAAAGATTTAACGGGTGGGGTGGGGGGTGGGTGGGGTTGGGCAAAGCGCCATAAAAGAGGAGAAGGAGCCAAGCGGGAGAGAGAGAGCATAATGAAATCTATTCAATGAGGCATACAACGAGGATGGTTTCGAGAGTTTTGCGGCACGACTGGAAGTTTGCAAAAGAGAATTAAGGGGGTAATTAGAGCAGAAGTTATCCATAGATTGGTTGGGAAATTTAAGGGAAATTTTAGAGATATTTTGGGACATTTTAAGAGCAATTTTCGGAAAAATGTAAGAGATTTTTTGGGAAAATTCAAGAGGAATTATGGACGAATTTTAAAAGAAACAAAAGGGAAAGACTTACTAGAAATTTTTTTTAGAAATTAAAAAGTATCTAAAAGTAGCTCTTAGAGCATTATTTTTAATGAAACTAAATTTAAAACTTACATTTTTTGGAATCTATAAAATCAGCTACCAATATTTTTACGAATCGTTGAACTATTATTTGAGATTTAAGATCGTGGAAATTGAAGGCGAAATTCAATTTAAGGGAATGGAAAACTTTACATGGAATTCAACGAATAAATGACGTAGAATCGGTCATAAATTAAAGAAAAAATGTCAAAGAAGTGAAAGTTAAATGAAAAAAAGAAGGGTCTCGTCTCTTTACAACTTTCGTGGCAACCCTCTTTGAGTCTCTGATGCTTTAATGTTATATTCGAGACAGCGACAGCCAGCAGCTGAATATTTGATGACTGCCTGTTGCCGTATGAGCTGCATGGTGCCTCCATGCCCCCGCCCCCACCGTGGTGGCCACCACCGCCGCTCTATGGCCAAAATGGATCGTAAATGTAGCCCAAATTATAAGTCATATGAAACAATGACTGCTACTTAGTTATGAGCATAAAAAGTAAGGGATAACCCAGGGAGGAATGGATGGCGGGCGACCCTCCACGGTCGCGACTGCTGTCAAAGTCATTTTGGCGCATAATTTTTAGAGCCTTACCCTTCGTATCGCTACTCGCTCCCTCTCTCTCCCCCTCCTTGCGTCCTTCATATAACTTTTATAGTCTTTCGCTCTGTGTCTCTGTCCCTGTCTTTCTGTTGGTCGTTTGCTAAAATATTCTAATTGTTTTCAACAATTTTTGAATGCGCTGTGTACGCGCTCGGCAGAGTGTCATAAATCTTGCGCTGCCATACTGCAGGGAGAGAACACTGGAAAAAGGAGTGACAGGATTTCGGTGGCAGAAACTATTGGATACACTTTTCAGTTGATCTTCTCAAAGGTAGCTAGAAGATACATGTATACATGAAATTTGTGCCATTTTTATTGATTTTTCTTTAGAATTAAAGATTATTTGATGTTCTCGCTGTATTATATACTCGTTATATAATATATTCGCTGTATAATGTACTCGCTTAAAGATTTACTCGATAATTGATGTACTCGCTTTTTAATATACTCGTTGCTTCATTTACTCGCTATTCAAGATGCTCGCTGTACTCGCTGTATCATATACTCATTTATTGATACATATATTACTTATACAAATGATACGAACGCAGTTTACTCGTTATAAACTGGTTGGCTTATTTACTCGTTTCATGATAAACCTGCTAAACTATGAACTCGCTATTAAATATTGTGATGCGGTGTACTCGTTACCTGATATGTACCTTACATGGCACTTGCAATATTATGTACTCGTTGGTTTTTAATAATTTACACAATATACTCACTGTATGTTATACTCGCTGTCGGCCCTACTCGCTAGTATGTTTCCCACGCTGTACAATACCAGCGACCCCGTAGAAAGGGTATACTCTAGTAAGACGATGGCCCGAAAGCCACCGAAATGGCCCAGACAAATTTGCTTTAAGGCTCGCCAATAAAAGTTAAGAGCGTCGTCCCAGCAGAAGAGTTCCTCCATCTATCGTGCCTCTTGGTCCACTCATAGAAGTGTGTATCTATGTGTATGTGCTTTGTATCTTTTGCATAATATACCCAAAAAAAATAGAAGAAAACGCATTTGAGACTGGTTTTTATGCTTAGAAACAGCAGTGGGGGAACTGTTGTAAAGGAGCAGTAGGACGGACCGGTGGAATGATTGAGTGGAATGCAGGAGAGTCGTAATTAAAATTTGTAGCTCCTTGGGTTCGCGTCGAGCATGTATCTTTTCTTTATACACACACACACCACAGATACTTTATATATCTATTTAGATAGTTTAGATGCGAGCAAGTACCTCCTAACAGATGGACGTTCGGTTGATGTTTTATTACTCCACCATTTTTGCAGATATCGTAAATTTTATATCAATTTTTTCGAAGGGGTGGAAACTCTAATTGCATTCCTGGCCATAAACTTGGGGTCTTATGGCATATGTGTGCATCATTTGTGTGGTTTTATATGTGTTGTTTAGATACTTTTATATTCCAAAAGTATCTGATGGATGGATAGGCACAAAAACATTGCGAATGTCATATTTTCCATTATATATTGAATAAATATTAAAGATCGGACTCTTTCTAGATACATCTCTAGCCATCTCTAGATAAAATATCTCAAAGATGCAAAGCAAAGTTTCGCTCTCCTTTGATTAGATTAACCCAAAACGTTTCTCACCTTTTTTCACACAACTCTGAAAGATATCTTTTGCACTCATAGCCTCTCACATTAGATAAAATATCTGAGAGATACAAGCACGCTATGCTATAGCAGATTACACGAATATTTCATTCATTCATACCGTTCAGTCCACTCCATTCTGAAACATTCTCACATGATTACCGAAACTTAAGTTGGGCTATTCGTAAGATACTACACACAGCAGCCTCTGGACACACAAACACACACGTACACGTATCCAGCAGATACTTTGGGGCCATAACTTTGCACGAGTTCATTGCCAATTCGCATGCAAGCTGCAGACACCCGCCGCCACCGCCACCGCCACCGCTCCCTCTCCCGCTCCCTTCGTTCAAGTCTCGGCTACTTTATATCATTTTAATAATGTATCTGCTAGGTGGCTCTGGGTGCTGGGTGCTGGCTGCTCTGTATCTGCAGCCAACGAAAAAATAACAAAGAAAACAAGTTCAAAGTAGTTTGCACTCAATTTCAATATTTTACACACACAAAATATGGAGGGGGGGAGCAGCAGCTGGCGGGAGACTTTTTGGCAAGACACCAAACACAATGTATCTCATAGATGCGAGAGCATTACATGTGTTTTACAGATACATATTATGTATTAGCGTGTAGCCCCTCAGGAGTCAAAGTAGCTCTCCATTCCATGCCATTCCATTCCATTCCATTGCCTCCGACTCGCAACTAATATGAATACCTAATAAATCACATTTGGACGGTGATTTATGTGACAGGTGCGTATTGCGATTTGAAATTGGCAACAGTTTCGGTTTCAGTCTCCCATTTCTCGTATCCGCAAATTGGTCAGAAGCATGTGAGATTTTTCCTTCTTGCCAGATTGTCGTGCGAATCTCAAATAATCCACGAAAATCCTAGATTAAGGAGTGGATTTTTGGAATTTAGCAAAAAACAGGCATATTAATGACACATCCAGAACCACTAAACGACCGACCGATGTGGCCTGCTGCATGACGCGGCGGCAATTGAAATAAAACCAAATATATATTTAAATTCATAAGCCCTTTATAAGCAGTTGCTGTTTTTATATAGAAATATACAGTTTTACATATATTAATTTTCCATTCAAAGTTTGTCGTCCAATTTTGCGCATTGTTGCGTTTTGAGTGTCGGTTTCGTCTTCGGTTTGGTGTTCACTTAGGATTGAACACAGCTTGTGTTCTCGGGCAGATCACAGATGCCCTTCAGTGCATTGAAGTATTTGTCACCGCAGCTGACCTTCAGGGCGCGTTGGTGACGGCAGATGTAATAGTCGTTGCAGCGTGCCGGCGATGCCATGAGGAAGCCATCGGGTTTTCCGGCGCAGGACACCTGAAGTGCTTTGTCAAGCGAATTGGTGCCCGCCGACTGCTGATGGGCGGCCACTTCCCAGAGAGGTCTGGCGTTGGGTCGGCGAATGGGATTACGGTTGGATTGGGACGACGCGACGACCTTTGAGGCAGAGGCAGAGGCTCCCGCACAGCCTGCAGCAGTTGTGGTGTCGCAAGTGGTTGCTGGTGTAGTGGCTGGTTCTGGCGCGCAAGTCGTTGTAGTAGTGGTTGTTGTCGTGGTTGTTGTTGTAGTGGTGGTTGATGGCGCGCAAGTCGTTGTAGTAGTGGTTGTTGTCGTGGTTGTTGTTGTCGTGGTTGTAGTTGTAGTGGTTGTTGTTGTCGTGGTGGTTGTTGTAGTGGTTGTTGTAGTAGTGGTTGTCGTCGTGGTTGTTGTTGTCGAGCAAGTAGTTGTAGTTGTCGTTGTTGGTGTGGTTGTAGTAGTGGTGGTTGTCGTAGTGGTGGTTGTAGTAGTGGTGGTTGTCGTCGTTGTTGTTGTCGTAGTTGTTGTTGTCGTGGTGGTTGTCGTAGTGGTCGTGGTTGTTGTGGTAGTTGATGGCGAGCAAGTCGTTGTAGTAGTGGTTGTTGTCGTGGTTGTTGTTGTCGTGGTTGTAGTTGTAGTGGTTGTTGTTGTCGTGGTGGTTGTCGTAGTGGTCGTGGTAGTTGTCGTAGTGGTCGTGGTTGTTGTGGTAGTTGTTGTAGTGGTGGTTGATGGCGAGCAAGTGGTTGTTGTTGTAGTGGTTGTAGTTGTCGTGGTTGTTGTAGTCGTCGTTGTTGTTGTAGTGGTTGTTGTAGTCGTGGTTGTTGTTGTAGTGGTTGTTGTTGTCGTGGTTGTCGTCGTGGTTGTTGTTGTCGAGCAAGTAGTTGTAGTTGTCGTTGTTGGTGTTGTGGTAGTAGTGGTGGTTGTCGTCGTGGTTGTTGTCGTCGTCGTGGTTGTTGTTGTCGTGGTTGTTGTAGTCGTGGTTGTTGTAGTCGTGGTTGTTGTTGTAGTGGTTGTCGTCGTGGTTGTTGTTGTCGAGCAAGTAGTTGTAGTTGTCGTTGTTGGTGTGGTTGTAGTAGTGGTGGTTGTCGTAGTGGTGGTTGTAGTAGTGGTGGTTGTCGTCGTTGTTGTTGTCGTAGTTGTTGTTGTCGTGGTGGTTGTCGTAGTGGTCGTGGTTGTTGTGGTAGTTGTTGTAGTGGTGGTTGATGGCGAGCAAGTCGTTGTAGTAGTGGTTGTTGTCGTGGTTGTTGTTGTCGTGGTTGTAGTTGTAGTGGTTGTTGTTGTCGTGGTGGTTGTCGTAGTGGTCGTGGTAGTTGTCGTAGTGGTCGTGGTTGTTGTGGTAGTTGTTGTAGTGGTGGTTGATGGCGAGCAAGTGGTTGTTGTTGTAGTGGTTGTAGTTGTCGTGGTTGTTGTAGTCGTCGTTGTTGTTGTAGTGGTTGTTGTAGTCGTGGTTGTTGTTGTAGTGGTTGTTGTTGTCGTGGTTGTTGTAGTGGTGGTTGTCGTCGTGGTTGTTGTTGTCGAGCAAGTAGTTGTAGTTGTCGTTGTTGGTGTTGTGGTAGTAGTGGTGGTTGTCGTAGTGGTGGTTGTAGTAGTGGTGGTTGTCGTCGTTGTTGTTGTCGTAGTTGTTGTTGTCGTGGTGGTTGTCGTAGTGGTCGTGGTTGTTGTGGTAGTTGTTGTAGTGGTGGTTGATGGCGAGCAAGTGGTTGTTGTTGTAGTGGTTGTAGTTGTCGTGGTTGTTGTAGTCGTCGTTGTTGTTGTAGTGGTTGTTGTAGTCGTGGTTGTTGTTGTAGTGGTTGTTGTTGTCGTGGTTGTTGTAGTGGTTGTTGTAGTCGTGGTTGTTGTTGTAGTGGTTGTCGTCGTGGTTGTTGTTGTCGAGCAAGTAGTTGTAGTTGTCGTTGTTGGTGTGGTTGTAGTAGTGGTGGTTGTCGTAGTGGTGGTTGTAGTAGTGGTGGTTGTCGTCGTTGTTGTTGTCGTAGTTGTTGTTGTCGTGGTGGTTGTCGTAGTGGTCGTGGTTGTTGTGGTAGTTGTTGTAGTGGTGGTTGATGGCGCGCAAGTCGTTGTAGTAGTGGTTGTTGACGTGGTTGTGGTTGTTGTCGTGGTTGTTGTTGTCGTGGTTGTAGTTGTAGTGGTTGTTGTTGTCGTGGTGGTTGTTGTAGTGGTCGTGGTTGTTGTGGTAGTTGTTGTAGTGGTGGTTGATGGCGAGCAAGTGGTTGTTGTTGTAGTGGTTGTAGTTGTCGTGGTTGTTGTAGTCGTCGTGGTTGTTGTAGTCGTGGTTGTTGTTGTTGTGGTTGTCGTAGTGCTTGTAGTTGTCTTGGGTGTTGTGGTAGTTGTTGTAGTGGTGGTTGTCGTGGTTTCATCCTCTCCAGAACATGGCGGCTTTGTTACTACGGGTGGCGGCGTTGTCGTCGCTGCTGCACAGGGTGGCGGAGTTGTCGCTTGGCATGGGGCGGAGGCATCCCTCGCATTCCGGCCGAATGCCACTGCGTTTGCGGAAACGTCTTGACCGTATATCCTTTCCACACTGGCGCCGCTGGCGCTGCTTGCAATTACTGCAACAAGCAGCAGAGTTAAGGCTGCAAAAACGAAAGGCTTTTTATTACTTTTCTGTCCTCCTGATGCTCTTTACACTGTGGAGACCGTATACCATAAATGTTCCGCATGTTGACTGCTGGTTTCACTGCTCACGATTCCCAGTTGCGGTTGAAGGTAGATCGAGGTACACTGTGATCATTGCTAGCACCTCCGTCCACTATTTATACGATGCAAAAATATCAATTTGCCAAAAATTAAATTGATTTGGGTACATTCACTCATTAGTAAAGTAGCAAACAAAATTTTGCCCCATAGTTATCACAGATATAGAACAAGATCTCACAAGATATCGCTGCCGTTGCCACGGCCGGTCTTATCACATCACAAATGTCTATGAAATTTACTCTCCAGAAGGGACTAGACTGAAAGCAAACCGAACTTCCGTTTCTTGTCAAACAACCGTCTGCTGTCTATTTATAACTGTATAGCACGTGTATCATGTATCGTACATACATATATCTCTTATCAAAATTATATTGTTTATTTATTTTTTATTCCCAGACAATTGCCCTACAATGTACATATGTCTTCAGACAGAAGATAAAGCGATTAGAATCTTGCATAATTTTAATTGTTTTTTTAATTGTTTTTTAATTGCAATGTCTTACCATCAGTCGGTAATGAATCGGCTATGAAACGGGTATAAAAAGGTTATGAATCAGTTATATGTTAATAATTTTTCAATTGGTTATCAAAAAGTTGTGAATCGATTAAAAATTTGATGTCAAACGGTTGTCAAACGGTTAGGATTCGGTTGTAAATTGGCTATCAATTAGACGTGAATCGGTTAACAGAATCGGTTGAGTTAAGGAATTTTTTTAAGACATTTCACAGATTTTGGATCGTCTTCGCAGACTATTTCTTTTCGTAATTTGTATTAATTTCACAGTAAAATACAGCGATAACTCGTGAAAAAGGTCCCTTCGCTTAGGGGAAATTTCGTACAACAGCAGGGAATACTTTTGTTCAAAGGAAACAAGGGCTGGCCTGACTGGCCCCACAACTACGTATTTCTTTGGAAACTTTGTTAATTTGTTGTTCAACACAATGGAGACACAAATGATGATGGCCTGGTCAATGGCAGAGGGTCAAAGGTAGGATTGAATGGACAGTCCCGCCTGCAGCAGCGTCACAGAAAAACAAACATAGAACCGGCGCGGTGGTAAGAACTGAAGTTTATCTGAGCCATCGGACAGGCCAGACGGGGGCCTCATTATGTAACCTCTCATAATTCTTTCATTAATGAAATTCCCACACGACGCAACGCACACATTATGTAAATCTTCGTCCACAGAACAGAACCCTGGATACCGAAAACCCAGCACGATGTCGGGATGTGTGTGTTTCAGCCTTCAGTCAGTCGGTCTTCATTTCTGGTTGTGCCTCCTTTTCCATCCTTGTCAACTAATTTCAGGGTTGCCTGTCATGTTCTTTAAGACTGTTTTAATTTTCATTCGTTTTTTGTGGGCTCCTCTCTGGCTTTTACTTTCCTTTCGTTTCGTTCGGGCCAAAAACCCAAATAAGAGGAAAACTACCTGTTCACAAAAAAAAAACCCACACACACACACACACGACCAGCAACAGCAGCCAAGGGAGCCTAAGAATACGAAACCCAAGCGAACTGTCGACCAGCCAAAACAACGCCCCAGTGTGCACAGTGGTTCAAGAAAGCCAGTGCATAATTATGAAAATTAGTAGGCACTTTTTGGAGGTCAAAGAGTTGACTGAAAGCGGAGTGGACAGAGAGACAGGCACTGGACATTGGACATGCAAGGACAAGGTATAATATGGGGATGAGTTCAGTCCATAGATTTCGATGGTAGATGACTTTTGGAAAGGTGGTTTTGGTGCTTATTTGCAAGCCGTCAATGATTTTTGTAAGCTACAAATAACCGAATATTGAAAATGAAGACATTTTCCCCTCAAAAATATATTTTCGTATGTTCTTTCTTCATTATATATTTCAAATTTCGATGGACTCTTTACCACTGTACAGATACATTTGTCTTTGTGACTCTTATTCTCATGACTGGCCTCTCCAGCTCGTCCCCTGGTACCGGGTAACCGGGGCCCGGTTCTGGCCCCGTTCTGTGCCGTGCCGTGCCTGTGGTGGATGCTTTTAAATACCCTTTACCTTGGCCATATTAATGCGGCTCCCACTGTTACTTGTCCCCGTGTTGTTGCTGTTGTACTTCTTCATGTAGTTTGGTTGTCATTTGGCAGCGCCCGCTGTTTAGTGTCCAACATGAGGGCCGTTGGTGTCAGGCGACGCTGCCTGCCACTGCCACTGCCAGTGCCACTGCCATTGCCTCTGAGATGCTGCTGGAAGAACCATGGAACCATGGAACCATACCATGGCGGAGGGGGCAGAACAAAATGTATATAGAGAGCTCTGGAGAGATGCTGCCTGGGTCTCGGGGCATTGGTATTCCCGCCTTTGGTTTTGGGCTTCAGGTTCAGGAGGCGACAGTTGTTGAAATTAAATGCTCACATGTGGGTTTTTGTCTTCGAGAGAAGACAACGAAAAATTCAGTAAACAAAAAGAACACAAACGGAGTGGAGGGTAAAAAGGTAACACAGGAGGCAACAAACACACACAAAAGGGATTGGCCCCGAAAACAATAAATGCTGCTCCCAGTACCAGTCCCCAGTCTAGGGGCGAGTGCCAAAACATATATATATATGCACGATATCTTTCAAGAAATAAAGGATAAAGAAGATGCTCCCAATAAAGCTTCAAGCAGGGATTGTAGCGAGGGAAGTTTCTTTAATATTTGCAAATAAAAACTTAAAAAATTTCCACTTGGAAATGGCTGATCTTCTCTTAAGTTGAGGAGTTTTTAACAATATTTAAGGTTAAGGTTGGGAAATCATGAAAATATTGTATTTTATGTGTCAAAAAAATTGTTTAAAATTTAAAACCTAATTATAGAAATTTATGCATACAATTTTAGTGCATTTCCAATTCCATTTCCAGTTCTAGGAAATTCTAGAAGACCTTCTTTATTTGGTATTGTAGTAAAAACCGGTTACAGAAATTTCTATAAATTCATAGCTATTTAATAATTTAATTTAATTGAAATCAACATTTTTAAAATTTTTTGTTGCTGTAGTTTTGCGCTTTTGAAGAGCTTTTTGTTCACTTTTCGCGCACTGTTTGTGCACTAATTCGTGGCAGTGTTGCAAGATATCGACTTGAGGCATAAATTCGCGAATTTCTTGATCAAAAAACAACATTTAACCGCCAGTCAACTTTAAGGAAAGGTTAAGCTATAAAGATGATCAAAAATACCCCATTAAAAGGTGCCTACCCTTTACTTAAAACTCCAAAAGCACATCTCTCCCTGTCTCTCTCGCTCACTCCAGAGCTCTGTTGACTTGCCCCCAACTCCAGGAATCAAATCAAAAGCAACTTTTATATGCTGTATTGCTGCCGATTCGGATGTTGCTGTTGATGTGGATGTTGATGTGAATGTGGATGTGGATGTTGCCGCCAGGGTCTTTACAATTCGGGGCCAGGCGCTTCATTTGCTCCGCTCTTCGACTTCGACTTCCACTTGGACTTGGACTTGGACTTCTTCTTCAAGTTTCTCCTCCTCCTCCTCCTCCTCCCCCTACTCCATCTCCTCCTCCAACATCTTTGGTTGTCTTCTGGTTCTGCTGCATTTATGGCTGCATTTACTTTTTAATTTCATTTGCTGTTGTTGCCGCTGTCTTGGCTGTTGCCGTTGCTGTTGCTGTTGCTGTTGCACTCCTTTTTCGATTTCAAGTGGAGTCAATTTCTTATGTCATGACAAGATACATACTTCAATATACACACAAAATGTTTCTCCAAGAGTATGGGGCACAACTTGACTTGGCTCAAGTCAAAATAAAAGAAGAAGGCAACAAAAAATCACCCTGGCAAAGGGGAGTCGAGTGTTTGATACCCTTGAAAAAAAAAGGAAGATTTGTTTTCGAAGCATGGCTTCTATGAAGGCTAACCGATAGTATGGTCCCTCCCTGAGCGGGAAATACTAAAATAAACCATCCAAAAAAATATTAGAACGCGAGCTAAAGTCAGAGCTCGACTGCGGGAAATCAATATTTTGGAACATCTGTCACAAATGTGATTTTTAATAATTTTGTATGCCTATAAATGTAAATTATAAATTCATGCTCCTTCCTTCCTGCATTTTGTTCGTCTTGCGCCCATGGCAGCGCTGCAGTCTCTCTCAATTTTCTTATCTCTTGATCTGATCTTCATTTGATCTACCAGCATTGCTGCGCTCTCACGCAATGCCCACCACACTCTCCCGCAATCGCTCTCTCTCTCTCTTCCAGCAACTCCTTCTAGCGCTCTCTCTCTCAGCAATTCCTTCTATGGCACTCTCTCGCTCTCGGCAACAACAACCGATAATGCGCCCACGACTCTAGCTCTCGGCAAATGCAAAAGTCGACGCTCGTGTGATGCAAAAGAAGCAACCAACGGGACTCTTCATAGCAACGTTGTTTCTGTTTTCTGTCGAACGCTTCTCTTGTTACTGCAATACGACTACGGGATGCCCTTTGTGCCCTCTTTTTAGTGCAATACAATTTGTGCCCTTTATTCTACGAATCTTCCACATAAATGGTTGATATCGTTGCTGATTTTTGTGTGTAGGTTATTGATTTTTTCAACAATATTTTAATTTGTGAATATTATTTTTATTACCTTTTCAAAGACTCTAATATATATATATATTTTCTACTATTAATAGTGATCTTAAATATATTTTATTATAGTTTCTTCTACCATACATACCTTTAAATTATCAGGCCCATCCTACACCATCTTCTTAGGGTATTAAAAAAAAAAACATAAGATGCCAGACGGCAGCATTTGTTGTTGTTGTTGCTGGATCTGCACGTCCAAGTCCGTCGCCTCGCAAGTTGTCGCCTTTCTGGAGTATAAGGTAGAATTTTTCGGTGTCTGCTCGGCTGCCCGCCTGCCCCCGCGCCCCCCATTTGTGCCTAAATATCTTTACTTATTTTTGGACATACTTGATTGAAGTATTTATGAGATTTCAGGCATTCGTGTAATTTTCCTTTGAGCTTTAAGTTACTTGCGAGTTGTGTTTAATTCAAAAAACAAAAAAAAGAGTTAAATGTAGGAACTAC